CAGTCCCAGAGCCCCCTCTCCCCAGATGGGACACTGTCCTGGGGAAGCCCCCACCCCAGCTGGGGCACTGCCCTGGGGAAGCTCACATCCCCGAAGCCCCCTCCTGCCCAGCTGTGGCACTGCCCTGGGGAATCTCACAGCCCCAGAGCCCCCTCTGGGGCACTGCTCTGTGGGGCTGGGGGCCCCCTGACTGTCTCTCTGCTCAGCGCAGGTCGGGGACATTGTGTCGGTAATCGACATGCCCCCCAAGGAGGAGGTCAGCTGGTGGCGAGGAAAGCACGGCTTCCAGGTGAGTGTGGGGGTTGGGGAGGGTCTGCAGGGGGGGCTCCCCGCTGGGCATTGCACCCCCACGCTCGGGTCACTGGGGGGGCTCCATGGGAGAGCCGGAGGCATGGGGGCACATGGGGGGTGGGAATGCAGGGTGGGGGCAGCTCGGGGTGTGGGGAGTCACAGCTCCAGCTGAGCTGCCCCCCTGCGCCCTGGGGTCTGGGCAGTGTCCAGTCCCTGGTCCTGGCACTGGGTCTCCCCAGCACGTACCCCATGGATGACTTCCCCCACCACGGCAGTGAGCCCCCATGGCCCAGCTGCCTGGCACCGGCTGTCCTGGAACAGGGGCAGGCCTGCCTCGGGAGTCACAGAATCATAGAATATCAGGGTTGGAAGAGACCTCAGGAGGTCATCTAGTCCAACCCCCTGCTCAAAGCAGGATCAATCTCCAACTAAATCATCCCAGCCAGGGCTTCATCAAGCCTGACCTTAAAAACCTCTAAGGAAGGCGATTCCACCACCTCCCTAGGTAACCCATTCCAGTGCTTCACCACCCTCCTTGTGAAAAAGTTTTTCCTAATATCCAATGTAAACCTCCCCCACTGCAACTTGAGACTGTTATTCCTTGTTCTGTCATCTGCTACCACTGAAAACTGTCTAGATCCATCCTCTTTGGAACCCCCTTTCAGGTAGTTGAAAGCAGCTATCAAATCCCCGCTCATTCTTCTCTTCTGCAGACTAAACAATCCCAGTTCCCTCAGCCTCTCCTCATAAGTCATGTGCCCCAGCCCCCTAATCATTTTTGTTGCCCTCCGCCGGACTCTTTCCAATTTTTCCACATCCTTCTTGTAGTGTGGGGCCCAAAACTGGACACAGTACTCCAGATGAGGCCTCGTATAGAGGAGAATGATCACGTCCCTCCATCTGCTGGCAATGCCCCTACTTACACAGCCCAAAATGCCGTTAGCCTTCTTGGCAACAAGGGCACACTGTTGACTCATATCCAGCTTCTCTTCCACTTTAACCCCTAGGTCCTTTTCTGCAGAACTGCTTCCTAGCCATTCGGTCCCTAGTCTGTAACAGTGAATGGGATTCTTCCATCCTAAGTGCAGGACTCTGCACTTGTCCTTGTTGAACCTCATCAGATTTCTTTTGGCCCAATCCTCTAATTTGTCTAGGTCCCTCTGTACCCTAGCCCTACCCTCCAGCATATCTACCACTTCTCCCAGTTTAGTGTCATCTACAAACTTGCTGAGAGTGCAGTCCACGCCATCATTAATGAAGATATTGAACAAAACCGGCCCCAGGACCGACCCTTGGGGCACTCCACTTGATACTGGCTGCCAACTAGACATGGAGCCATTGATCACTATCCGTTGAGCCCGACGATCTAGCCAGCTTTCTATTCACCTTATAGTCCATTCATCCAGCCCATACTTCTTTAACTTGCCGGCAAGAATACTGTGGGAGACCATATCAAAAGCTTTGCTAAAGTCAAGGAATAACACGTCACGCGGGATTAACCACTGCTCACAACTGCCCGGGTGGACACTTGCCATCTGCACTGCAGGTGCCTGGCCCCAAGGAGGCGAACCCACTTAGCAAGAGAATGAAGCTAAACCGAATTCAGGCTGCTTCAGTTTGGGAGGAGGAACTGAATGTGGTTTAACTAGGGCTTGTTCTACACTGAAAACTGATCCCGGCACAGCTACCTCAGTCTGGGGTGTCAGATCTCCCCACCCCAGGGCCAGAGCAGTGTAGACACAGCTGTGTCGACAGAGGAGGGCTCCCATCAGCGTGCCGTGCTGGGTGTGTATGTATGCGCGCACTTGCAGAAGAGCCTCTGTTGGCGTAGGCTGCATCTACACCGGGAGCTCTGCTGGCAGAGGGTCTGTCATAGCCATTGACACACAGGAACAGGCATCCAGATTTGCGGGTGGTGGGTTAATTTGGATTCAGTGTTGATGGGTTAATTTGGATTTGCTGCTGTTGGGTTAATCCGGATTCGCAGTTAAAGTGGTTTAGGAAAGGAAATCTGGATTCACTGGTGATGGGTTAATACAGATTCATTGTTAAAGTGGATTAGAAAAGGAAATCCAGATTTGCTGTTGGTGGGGTAATATACATTCACTCTAGTTGGGTTAATCCAGATTCACTGTTGGTGGGTTAATCCAGATTTGCCAGGAAAATGGAATAGGAAAGAAATCCAGATTCACTGGTGTTGGGTTAATCCGGATTTGGTGTTAAAGTGGATTAGTTAAATGGCGGTGTGGACGTTGTGACAGAGTCACAGGCCTGCTCTGTATGCAGCCAGCCAGGACTCTGGGGTGGCGTGACTCCCCTCAGGGCACGCTGTCCAGGGCAAGGAGCTGTGGCCTTCCTGGTCTGATCTCGGAGCATCCAGCATCCCTGTTCACACCATACACTTCCCCTTGGTGGGTCCAGCTGGACGGGACCCCTGAGGAAACCAGAGGGCCCCGCACCCCCACTCTGCAGCCAGCGGGTAACACAGAAGGTTTATTAGTCGACAGGAACACAATGTAGAACAGAGCTTGTTAGCACAGAAATCAGTGACTGTCAGCAAAGTCTATTTTGGGGGGACCCTGGGCCGGATTTCCTGGACTCCCTCCTCTCCGAGTCCCCCACAGCCGACTGCCCAGCTACCAGCGACCCGAGCTCCGACACACCTCCTGGTCTTTATCTCGCTTCCCGGGCAAAGTATCACCTGGTCGCATCCCCCTCCTGGGTCTAAAGTTACGAAGGGCACCGGCCATAGCATATGTGCAGGCAGCTGGAGCCACCTCACCTGCTCCAAGGGTCTCAGCAAAAGTCACACACCCTTATTTCCACCACCTAGGCATTGGTGCAATACACAGGGAAACTGAGGCACACACACTATTCGTGCAAAACAGTAAGACTCACATAGGCTCATGTACAACATAACAAGGAGGAAAACCCCATTTAGTCACAATGTTCTTCCGAATGGGAGTGGGCAGCATCTGGGTGAGTGTCACTCCCTTTGGAAGTGGATTAGGAAGACCGCTGCCGTTGGGAAGCTAAGCATCCACCCAGGGGCTTAATTCAGTTTAAAGAACGCACCTTGAATTCACACCTTTGGCTGCTCCGGATTCAGCCCTGGGGTCCATCGTGTCACATGGACAGATCCCCAGGCCATCCAGGGGGCGGGGCAGGAATTCACCACACAGGATGGGGGGGCGGGGTGTCTCTCTCAGGGTAGCCTAGGGGGATCCCCCTGTAACAAAGCGGCCTTTGGTGGGACACTACTGAGAGTATCAATTCAGAACAAACTGCTTAGAGCAGGGCAGTCGCAGCCCAAGGCTGGGTTTCCTTCACTACTAAGGCACAGCAAACCAGCCCAACAGAGAGGACTTCGGTTTCACCCCACTGGTTAACCAGAAGTCATACAAGCAATTCCCTCAGACACTCCGGTTTCCCAGGATCACCACCAGTGCAACTCCTTATGGGGATGAATGGTTATGAAAACCAACACCCCAGTAAAAGAAAAAAGATTCTCCCGATCCCAAAGGCCCAGGCCCCAGACCCAGGTCAATATACCAGTCAGATTTTACCCACAAATCACGCTGTTGCCAATCCTTTAGAATCTAAAATCTAAAGGTTTATTCATAAAAAGAAAGAAATATAGATGAGAGTTAAAATGGGTTAAATGGAATCGATTACATACAGTAATGGCAAAGTTCTTGGTTCAGGCTTGTAGCAGTGATGGAATAAACTGCTGGCTTAAGTTAAGTCTCTGGAGTACAGCCACAGCTGGGATGGGTCATTCAGTCCTTTGTTCAGAGCTTCAGTTTGTAGCAAAGTTCCTCCAGAGGTAAGAAGCAGGACTGAAGACAAAATGGAGACGATGCAGCTGCCTTTTATAGTCTCTTGCCATGTGGCCTGTGCTTCCTTTGTTTTAAACACAAGCTGCCCAGCACATGGCTTGGAAGCCTTCGAGTTCTCTCCATAGGCATGTCCCTGCCTGCCTTGCTGAGTCATAAGGTGTATCTGCCTTCTCTCAATGGGTCAGTTGTGTAGCTGATGGTCCTTAATGGGCCATCAAGCAGGCTAGGCAGTGCTGATGCCAAACTGTCTGGGGTGTCACCCAGAAGCATAGCACAAGTTTGAAATACAGACAGTATAGAGCCAATACTTATAACTTTAAATACAAAAATGATACCTGCGTACTGATAGCATAATCATATCCAGCAACATCATAACCGTTCCATAGACACCTTACTTGACCTCCGTACAAGATTTGGTAGCACTATAGGCCCTTGGTTGCAACAATGATCTATACGGTCACAGTTCATGTCAAGAAGGTCACACCCCCATGTTCAGCTATTGGGGGTGGGGCAGTGGATCCTGACCCCATCTGTCTATCTCACCAGGTCGGTTTCTTCCCCAGCGAGTGTGTTGAGCTCTTCCCGGACCGCCTGGCGCCAGAGCTCAAAGCAGGTGATGCCTGGGCCCCACAGCTGGGGTGCTGCTCCCCCACAAAGAGGTGGCCCTGGGGACTTGGGGGCGGGTAGGGATCAGGGTGTTTAGGGGAAGACCGGGTGAGGGGCACAGGAGTATGGGGGATATGGGGAAGGTGTGGTGGGGGCAGGGACTTGGGAGGAGATGGGGTGTTGGGGTAAGGGAGGGTGGGGTAAGAGGTGCTGGGTTGTGGGGTAAAGGGGGTGGGGTGTAGGGGTAGGGCAGGGAGTGTGGGGGTACGGAGGGGACAGTAGGAGTATGGCAGGGGCGCTGGGGTGTGGGGGTATGGAGGGGATGGGGTGCAGGGATGCGGTAAGGGGGTGTTGCGGTACAGAGGGGACAGGGTGTGGGGTTATGGAGGGGATGGGATATAGGGGCAGGGCAGGGGACACGGGTGTCAGGGTATGGAGCGGATGGGGTGCAGGGGTTGGGTAAGGGGGTGTTGGGATGTGGGGGCATCCTTTCCCCCCAGCTGGGGTCTCCCCTGGGACTCCGGGGTCTCTCTGGCACCGTGCAGCACGTCTTGGGCTCTGGTGCTCAGCAGGGCCAGCCCATGTCTGCTCCATGGAGAGGTGACCCTGTGCTGGGGCGGGGAAGGGGGAGCTCTGTCTCCACCATCCCAACCCCATTTCTTCCCCTCTGTTACCCCCAACAGACACAGATGGGACAGGCGCCAGCATCCCTGGGGTCCTCACGCCTCAGGGGCCCCTCTCCCCCACGTTGGGTAAGTACAGTACAGCTGGCACAGGGGGCCTAAATAAGGGAGGCAGGGGGAAACACTACAATATCATTCTGACCCCAGAGCTGGCTGCATCCCAGCGCTGGGCGAGCTGTCCCCATGCGGCGTTATATAAAGCTGTTCCCACCTGTCCCGCCCCAGAGATGGCTGTGTCCCAGCACAGAGTGAGCCGTCCCCATGTGGTGTTATGTGTCGCTGTTCCTGTTCACCTACCCCAGAGGTGGCTGCATCCCAGTGCTAGGCGAATCGTCCCCGTGTGGATTTATGTGCGGCTGTTCCCGACTGCTCTGCCCCAGAGGTGGCTGTGTCCCAACACTGGGCGAGCTGTACCTGTGTAGTGTTGTGTGCGGCTTTTGCTAGCTGCGCCACCCGAGGACCAGGAGAACGGTCCCCCTGAGGTGTTATGTGCGCCTGTTTCCGGATGCCCAGTATCAGAGGGGTAGCCATGTTAGTCTGGATGCCCAGTATCCGAGGGGTAGCCATGTCAGTCTGGATCTGTAAAAAGCGACAAAGAGTCCTATGGCACCTTATAGACTAACAGAAGTATTGGAGCATAAGCTTTCGTGGGTGAATACCCACTTCACCAGACGCATGTGGTGGAAATTTCCAGAGGCAGGTATAAATATGCAGGCAAGAATCAGTCTAGAGATGCCCCAACCCAGAGGTGGCTGTGTCCCGGCACCAAGCAAGCTGTCTCCATGTGGTTTTATGTGTGGCTGTTCCCGGCTGCCCCACTCCAGAGGTGGCTGTGTCCCAGTACCAAGTGAGTCGTCCCCATGTGGTGTTATGTGCGGCTGTTCTCACCTGCCCGCCCCAGAGGTGGCTGTGTCCCAGTACTGAGTGAGCCGTTCCTGTCCACCCTACCCGAGACGTGGCTGTGTCCCAGTGCCAGGTGAATCATCCCCGTGCTGTGTAATGTGCGGCTGTTCCTGGCTGCCCCACCCCAGAGATGTCTGTGTCCCGGCGCTTGGCAAGCTGTCCTCGTGTGTTGTTACATGCATCAGTTCCACTCTGCCCTGCCCCAGTTTTGGCTGCGTCCCACCACCAGGACAGCTGTCCCCATGTAGTATTATGTGTGGCTGTTCCCGGCTGCCCCACCCGAGAGGTGGCTGTGTTCCAGGGCCAGGAAAACTGTCCCTGTAAGGCGTAATGTGCGGCTGTTCCCGGCTGCCCCACCCCAGAGGTGGCTGCATCCCAGCAGCGGGTGAGCTCTCCCCTTGCAGTGTTATGTGTGGCTGTTCCCAGCTGCCCCACCCAAGAGGTGGCTGTGTCCTAGGGCCTGGAGAACTATCCCTGTAAGGCGTTATGTGTGGCTGTTCCCGGCTGCCCCACCCCAGGGGTGGCTCCGTCACTGTGCCGGGCGAGCTCTCCCCTTGTGGTGTTATGTGCAGATCTTCCCAGCTGCCCCACCCCGTAGGTGGCTGCGTCCCAGTGCCAGACGAGCTGTCCCCGTGTGGTGTTGTGTGCAGCTATCCTTGCTGCCACGCCCCAGAGGTGGCCAGACGAGCTGTCCCCAAGTGGTGGCATGTGATGCTGTTCCCGGCTGGCCCATCCCAGAGATGTCTGCATATCAATGCTGGACGAGCTGTCCCCATGTGGTGGCTGTCACAGACTCAGAGGTCGTGCCCATTCTTGGCCCTGTACGGTCTCTGGGGGAAACCCCCTTCAATATGACAGCCCTTCTCGGGGGTGCACTCTCGGGGGTTAAGCCCCTCCGCCGCCTGGAATCGCACCTCTCTGAGCCTTAGCACATTTGTCCCTCGCCGTGGGCCCCCTCAGGGAGTCCACTCGCTCTGGACCCCCGGGGCCTCCACTCCCAGAGGGAATAATGCCACCCTGCTCGCTAGACCAGAGCGACTCTCAGCCAGCGTAAAACAGGAGGGTTTATTGAGCGTTTGAACACAGCACAGGAAACTCTCAGGGCCCTTAGGCCTGGCCTCACTCAGCACAGTACATATAAGGCCTGGTCTACACTGGGGGGGGTGTCGATGTATGATACGCAACTTCAGCTGAAGTCGACATATCTTATTCCGACTTACCTCCTGTACTCACGGCGCAGGATTGACGGCTGCGTCTCCCCGTCGACTCCACTACCGCTGCTCGCTCCAGTGGAGTTCCGGAGTCGACGGGGAGCGCATTCGGGGATCGATATATCACGTCTTAGTGAGATGCGATATACTGATCCACAATAAATCGATCGCTACCCGCCGATACGGCGGGTAGTCTGGACATACCCTAAGTCTCCCCTGCATCCAGGTGGGCTCTGCCTGCTCTCTCCTCCCAGCCCAGAGACCCCCTGCTTCCAGCTGGGCATCTGATATCACCTGCCCCCAAGCCCCGCCTCTGTCCTTTGTCTTTTGTCCAGGTAAACAGGGTCACCTGGGCCTTCTCTCCTCTCAGCCCCTCCTCTCAGCCCTCCGTTGTACCCCTCTGGCTGGAACCGGCTGGTCAGCTGACCAGGGTTCTCTCTCTGCAGGCCATTGTCCTCCCACTGGCCAGAACCAGCTATGGCATCTGAGCTAGGCCTCCTGCTCACCAGGTCACCAGTTGCTGGCGTATCCATTCTCCTGGTCATTGGCCGGGGTCCCAAGTTCCATCGCTGGTCCTCTGTAACATCAAACTCCCTCTCCCATCACCTCATTAAACCAGTAACACCCAGGGAAACTGAGTCCCACCCCCTCTGCATGCAAACCATTGAAAAAAACGTGACAAAGTGGGGGATTTTCACATCTCTCCGCCCTTCGAGTCTGAACTGAGCGGGGTCACTTAGCCAGTGATCTGGGGAAGTTCAGGGCCCCCACCCCGTGATAAAGCATCGGCTATAACATTGGCAGTCCCCCTCACATGGACCACCTCCATGTCATAACCCTGGAGGAGCAGGCTCCATCTCAGCAGCTTGGCATTAGCCCCTTTCATTTGGTGCAGCCACGTCAGGGGCGAATGGTCAGTGTACACAGTGAAGCGCCGCCCAAATAGATATGGCTGCAGTTTTTTAAGTGCCCACACCATGGCCAGGCATTTCTTCTCTATGGCCACATAGTGCTGCTCCCAGGGCAGCAACTTCTCGCTCAAGTACACAATGGGGTGTCTCTCCCCTTAGTATCAGTTTGCATCAGCACCGCACCCAGCCCCGTGTCTGAGGCATTGGTGAACACCAGGAAGAGTTTGTTAAAATCCAGTTATACCAGCACTGGGCTTTGGATGAATGCCCCCTTTAGCGCATAGAGAGCCCTCTGGCACTGCTCAGTCCAGACCACCCTGTCTGGCTTTGCCTTCCTACAAAGCTCTGTGAGGGGAGCTGCCAGGGAGCTAAAGTGGGGCACAAACCTCCGGTAGTACCCCATCATCCCAATGAAAGCCTGGACCTGCTTCTTAGTCTGGGGAGTGGGCCAATCCTGGATTGCCTCCACTTTGGCCGGCTCCGGTTTCAGGTGGCCGCTCCCCACCTTGTGGCCTAGATATGACACCCCTGCCATCCCCACCTTGCACTTTCCAGCTTTTATGGTCAGTCTGGCATCCTGGAGGCCTCTTCACTTGGGACACATGTTCTTCCCAGGTCTGACTAAAGACACAGATGCCGTCAATATACGCTAGAGCAGAGTTAGGCAACCTATGGCACGCGTGCCGAAGGCGGCACGCGAGCTGATTTTCAGTGGCACTCACAGTGCCCGGGTCCTGGCCACTGGTCCAGGGGGCGCTGCGTTTTAATTTAATTTTAAATGAAGCTTCTTAAATATTTTAAAAACCTTATTTACTTTACATACAAAAATAGTTTAGTTATATATTATAGACTTATAAAAAGAAACCTTCTAAAAACATTAAAATGTATTACTGGCACGGGAAACCTTAAATCAAGCGTTTCCCGGAAGGTCAGTACATACTCCATCACTGATTCTCCATTGAGGGAAGCCTTCCCCTCTCACTCATCCCTCATTAAGTCCAGGGGTCCCCTCACTCTCCTCACATACAGCAACTCAGACAGGGAAAACTCTTTGGATTCCTGGGGCACTTCCCTGTATGCGAACAGCAGGTGGGGTAAATACTTGTCCCAGTCCCGTGGGTGATGGTCCATTAATGTTTTCAGCATCATTTTTAGGGTCCCATTGAACCTCTCCACCAGCCTGTTGGACTGAGGGTGGTATACCGAGGCCCAGGTGTGCCAGACCCCACACTTCTCCCACAAGCACTGGAGCAGGCCCGACATGAAGTTAGACCCCTGGTCTGTAAGAAACTCCTTGGGGAACCCCACTCTGCTGAAAATGGTCAGCAGTGCATCTGCCACGGTGTCTGCCTCGATAGAGGACAAGGCCACTGCCTTGGGGTAGCACAAAGCGAAATCCAACACCACCAGAATGTATTTCTTCCCCGACCGGGTCACCCTGCTGAGGGGCCCCACTATGTCCATGGCCACCTTCTGAAAAGGCTCCTCTATGATGGGCAAAGGTCTCAGAGGTGCTTTCCCCGCCCTCTGGCAGGAGTCACAGGACCTACAATCCTGTTGGACTGCGTCAAAAACGCCAGGCCAGTAAAAGTTCTGCAGCAGCCTCTGCCTGGTGTGCTGTACTCCCTGATGCCCTGAAAGGGGAATCATAGAATATCAGGGTTGGAAGGGATCTCAGGAGGTCATCTAGTCCAACCCCCTGCTCAAAGCAGGACCAATCTCCAACTAACTCATCCCAGCCAAGGCTTTGTCAAGTCTGACCTTAAAAACCTCTAAGGAATATCATGGGCCAAGTACAACAGTCTGCGGCGGTACCTCTGGGGAACCACCAACTGCCTCCTGGCTTTCCAAGGGTATGTCTACACTACAGGATTAATCCGAATTTAGATAATTCGAATTTGGGAAACAGGTTGTATAAATTCGATTGTGCGCGGCCACACTAAGCACCTTAATTCGGTTTTTAACCACATTAATTCGGTGGTGTGCGGCCACACTACCCCATTAATTTAAACACAGTAATTCGGTGGTGTGCGGCCACACTAAA